CCTCGTTTTGCACACACTTATCCCATCGTTCCTGCCACTTTCTGAAGCAGTTCTGGAAGTCCTCTTTCATGAGTGTCTTTAGTTGTGCTGTCGTGGCTGTCTGAATGTCCTGAATTGATTCAAAATGTTTTCCTTTCATGGTCATTTTGACTTTGGGGAAGAGCCAGAAGTCATGCAGTGCCAGATTCAGTGAATAAAGTGGATGAGGACACACTGTAATGTTTTTATTTGACAGAAATTGCCATACCAGAAGTGATGAGTGACACAGAGCATTGTCATGATGGAGGATGAAGTAAAGACACTCACGAAAGAGGACTTCCAGAACTACTTCAGAAAGTGGCAAGAACAATGGGATAAGTGTGTTTGAAGTGAGGGGGAGTATTCTGAGGGAGATTAATGGCACTGTATCTTTTACTGTAATACATTTTTCTAAAATTTAAACATTCACCGTATTTTTCGATCATACCTCATATCTTACCATCTGCACAAAGTCCCCTTGCAGAGGCAGAGACTAGAGTCTTCCATGCTTTATCATCTCATACAATTTGTATAATCCTGAGATTTCCAATAGTTGGAGGATGAATACTCCTCTATATAGCCTCACTGTGCATTAATTTCTTCATGTTCTAGTTTCAAAAAGATGAAAAAAGAGGTAGCTGCCCACAATTGATTATTTGACCCAATTACATGTTAAAAATTGTTGTGTTGTTGTATAGGCCTCTCTTTTTTGATTCATTCACCACTCAACGTGTTGGTCTGCTGAGGCTGCTCAATAAATAGCTGCTGCTTTCATCTGAGATGATTGAAAATTCTGTAAAACAATTCTTAAAGTGTGAGACAGGGTATACTAATCAGTATATTGAAAATAATCCTATTCAGACAAGCTACAGAGCTATATGAAAACGGATGCTCTGTGGGGACTGCAGTAAGGAGTGTGGGGATAAGGGGGTTTCATCCAGATTGCTAATGGACTGCAGCTTAGGAACACCAGGATATACATATTGGTCACTGTTAATTGAATCATTATTTTAAATATTCAGTTAAGGGGATAGAATGACAGGAGGTGTTTCATTAAATTCAAATTCATTATTCAGAGACATAAGATATTTAAAATAATGTTTGGATTAGTTTTTTTAAATTTACTTGAATTTTAAGTAAAAGCATCACTTATATTGCTATATATGGAGAATTCATCATTAGAGGCAGAAAATGTACAACCACCACTTGGGTTTCTTCAATTCTGACCTCTACAATTCTACATCACAATGGCTCTTATTTCTCTCAAGACACAGACAACCCTTTTGTCCACCAGGTGGCAGTACATCTTTAACTATCTCCTCATACAAGGGCAAAAAGGCAAGAAACCCTCATAGCCGTATCAGAAATTACAGGTACTTCTACATAATAACACGCAGTGTTGAAATACCTCGTGCTCTGCAAAATTACACTGTGAATAGAGCAGGGTTAACAGGTAAAACAAGGTTGGAGCAGACTACTCAAAATCTATGCACTTGGTAACCAGGGACTAACAATCCAAAGATATTAATAGCACAATGAAAAAGACATGTGCAAATTTTAAATACTCTTTAAATTCAAAATAAAGTAAAAAATATAAATTTTAGAAAATAAAGGAGAGGGGTACAGTTGAGGCTGCTTCGGGCAAAATGCACAAAAACAAAGAGAACCTTGCAATAAGCATTTCCAAGACAAAGCATGTGACAAACCAGCCAGGAGGGGGACCTCGGGGAAGGAGCAAGGTGCATATTACTGAAATGCCCCATGTTCTGCTGGGTCAGTGACACTGTATTACACTGCTATTTATTTGGCTGCACAAATCACTAATGGGGTAATTTTTTTTAGCTGAGAAAATTGAGAAAGAACACAACTTCTGCATCCTCCTGCCCTCATCCGTAAATCTGCCGACACGTGTGCACTAGATCATGGTACAAGAGGTCTACTCACCTGCAGTTAAATAAGCATAATAGCACTGGGACCATCTGGACTCGTTTTTTAGCCTCTCAAAGGAATCAAATGCATCCTTGAAATTCAGCTCTATCATGCTGCACCAACCTATGAAAGAAATACCGTTAGTATACAATCCTCAAGTACTGTAGTGAGCTTCACATCCTATCTCTCAGCTATAAATCCAGTCTGATCCCGTTATCCTTCTCTGTAAGTGTTGAATGTAAAGTACGTGAAAACTTAAAAAAATTCTTTTTTCTCTTAAATATGTTCAATGTGACATTTTGAGTAAGACAAGGCACTTCTGATTTCACAACCAATTACACAGCACAGAAAAAAGGGACATAGAGAGTTCTACGACAGCTCTCCATTTTTGTCTCCTACAGCTGTGAGATTAACCCAAGCCCAGCAGTGCTTTTCCAGAGCAGGCGCAGACACACAAAAAGCAATATCATTACGCAAAGTCTTAAAGCACTCACTTGCTCATCAAGGAGTCTATTAATTCTCAAACTGTTTTAAGAAGAAGACAGCAAGCAAGCCAGTCAGAAATTAAGTACTTGCCCACCCTCCCTCTGCAGGTTGGTAGCGGAGCTGAGAAAGCACCCCATCTTTTCCAGATCTAAACACCATTAGTCTGTCATTCTGGTAAGGACTAGCAGCAACAAAAATGCAAGGAATTTTATCCCCATTCTTGTAATAATATCTCCTATCCCCTGAGCCCCTTTGTGTGGCCAAGCATGTGGATACAATTCTCTCTAATCCCGCTACTTCCTTGCAAAGGTGGCTGGTGAGGTGCACACTTGACCAAGGAGAAAACCTAAGGCAGGAAGAGGTCCTGTGACTTGCTCAAGTCCACACAGCTAAAAAGAGGGAATTGCTGAGGATCGAAGGCTGATGCTCTTTCCTGTGTATGATACTGTTGCCACAAAAACACAATTCTGGTATGAGGTGCATCAAAAAGCAATTGTGTCATCTTGGACTTGCCATTTTAACTATAGGGATGAGGGGGATCTATACTTCCAGAAACTTCAGTATCAGATTCTGTGGGATATGATAAAAAGTTGCCATATTTTAGAGTAAAAAGTGGAGCTAATTATTTCCATCATGTAACATAAAAGGGCAAGATTTGAATTAAATACAAACTGTAGGTAGGAGGTAGCACTGAACCTGAATAAGCAGCCTAAGCTCTGAGTTCGCTACTTTTCTCCAGAGTTAAGCTTGAAGGCCCTAGTGTTGGGTTGGATGATTTCTAGGTTTCCTTCAGCTCTGACGTTCTACACTGCCACAGGCCTTGAAATGGTGCCCGAAAAAAGTCACAAGCTGGGTCTTTTAACTCAAGTTCCTTGAAACACATTCCATTCTACCTTATGGCTAACCAAACAGAGCTCCAGAGGAGGTTAGATTACATAAAAAGCATTTTCCACTGGACTCTACTTCATTCCCCTCCCTAATCATAACGGGCATTGAAAATATAATACTGGTTAGTGGGTGGCTCCCAATCTTCGAGTGTGTACTTTTCTTTAAAAAGATTAAGGAAGACATTTATGTCCACAGCAGGCAACCAAGTGGCAGGCATCACAGGGCCCCACCTGACAGGTGTTAACGGCCTCCCCTGGCTCTTCATGTCTTCTTCCTTCTCTGAGCAGATTGCCTTTTGAATCCCAATTTCCCCTTTAATTCCCATCACNTGTTTTGTTATTTTTTACCTTGGCTCATCCTCTGTAGGTTGGGGAAGGAACAGTTTGGAAGGGCTTTCCACAAGTACAACACTTCGATGGAGGCCAGCACGCAAAGCACTCTGGTCGGCGTTTGTTTCCGAAATCTCTCAGCCTACAAGTAGTTAGAATGATTAGGCTCCATTTTTTAAAAACCAAATTCAAATAAAAAAATATACATCAGAGACATTTAAAAAGGCTCAGTTCATATTCCACACAAACAACCCCCTCCTCCAAAGCGAGAAATGAACATTTTTCTCTATGAAAAATTTTTGCTTTCCAATTTTTAATATGCTGGGGAGATGCAACTTCCATTCATTATTTAAATCAATCTACTATCAAGATCCAGGGTATATTCTGAAAATTTGGAAATGAATCTAGCTTTGTTTCTGTTTAAATAAAAGGAATTTATCAAAGCTGGGGGACAAATAACTCATTGGGTTTATATGGAGGATGTAATGCTAGATGCCTTTTAGTTATGGCTTTATTGAATTTTTATTTTTCTCATGAGTCACAATGCTCTCAGTGGCATTCCTCATTACAATCTAGTTTATATTCCAAGTCATTAAGTGTTCATTCAATAAAACTTATAAAATTAAAATCACAGAAAACTCAAGATATGAAAAGTTGTAATGTAACCAACCCACAGTAATTCAGCTACATTTTATTCTTAAAAGTGTAGAATTGGGGGACATTGTCCCTATAGCCCTGGGCCTTTCTGCTGATGTATTTGATGCATACTATTTTATTTTTTATTAGGTCAAAATGTGATGTGTTCATTATATTGAGAACCAACAGCCTGTATCTCTTGCCTAGGGTCTGCCTATTTGTATTCTTCTGAAACTTCCTAACTTTAGACAGATGCTTTCACTCGGCAGATATGCTCATGAGCTCTACAGTCTGTAATATTTCTACTCAGTCAAAACAAAACAAACAAAACCCCAAACAAACTGTTTTAATGATTTGCAGCAAAATAAGCACTTTCTTTCAGAGCACAAGTAGGACCATGGGAGTAAACGTCTTACCACAGTGGTAAACTGCATTCTGCACAGCAAGTAAGTTGCCAGCTTTGAATATGATTTCCTAAAATCTATGCAAGGTAGTGTTGGTTAAAAATGCCCATCATAAATAATACTCCCGATCAGTAGGCTTCAACATACCTTTTTCACTGAGAACTGTTCAATCTGATTGTTTTTCCTTTTGAAGAGTTTCTGAACTTCTTTAAAGACAATCTGTGCCCCATCCACATCACCAGTGGCTCCCTGACAAACTGTAAGAAATCATCATTGTAGTTCTTAAGCATTAGGGGGAAAATGCTACTAAAGGTTACCTAGGTTGATGGTACTTGGAAATGTTACCTAAGGAAAACAGGGAGCAAATATTTTAAAAAACTGTTACACAAGGACTAGACCATCCTGCTGATCGTTATTCCATTTATTCAACAACTACTTCCCATGTGCTGGGTTCCTAGAGCTTTGGGAGAACAGGGGGACATATGGGAATGCCATGGTCCCACCCTTCTTGTTGTGGAGATAGTCTCACACGCAATAAAATCCCCAGCTATTGTCACAGTGTCCAGTCTAGTTGGAGCCCACATGCTCAGGAGGTGGAGTAAAAAAGAATCTAGGCACAAACAATGAGTCAAGAGGACCTTGAAAGCTTCATGGTGGAAGAAGGCTATCCCTGTGCCCGGAAAGAAAGCCATGAAAGTCCTACACATGTTCACTGGCCACCCACTACCTACAAGCAACCAGCCAGAATGTGAAGAAGAAAAACGTCAGTTTCGGCTGGAGAGATAAGATATACATACAGGTACCGTGCATATAATAATAAGAGCCACTGGAGTAGGAGAACCAAAGTGCTTTGGGGGAAAATTCAGAAAGAAAAGGGATCGTTTCTCTTTGGAGTGGTCATGGAAGCTTTGAGGAGCTAGGAGTTGAGCTGAGCCTTGGAGGATGGTAAGATTGTGACAGTCTGCACACCATCCTCATCCCACCGCAAGCCCCAGGCAAAGCCTTAATCACACTCCCTTTGTGTCACCTGCTCTCTCTCTTCTCTGAACTTCATACCCAGCTTCAGTCCCATCTCCATAATAAAACTCTACCAACTAGTCTTTGATCTCCTCTTTTTGACTCCTATGACATTGAACTCACTTCTGTTCTTTTTTTGTTGTTAGATGTTATCTTCATTAGATGTCATTTTTCAATTCCCAGTTGGAATGCCCGTGGATTTGCTAGCTATTCCTTCTATATTTGAGCACCCTAAAACTAGCTGATTGTGTGCTCCCATTTTGGGCATGGCCAAGCAGGGTACAGGGTCACGGCTTGTCAGAGGGGAGGCTGCTATTAGCAGGGCCAAAGAAACAGGAGCGCCAAGGGTTGGAGACAGCTGAGGAAGCTGAGGTGATAGAAAAGGCAGTAGATTTCTATTAGGAGTAAAGGGATTTGGGCCAAATATTCGAAGGGAGGTACTTCACCATATACACAAATATCAATCATTATTTTGTANATGCGAATAAGTTTACATGAAAGCATTACTTAATAATTTTCATAATCTTCATGGTAATTTTATAAAGGATAACAACTTATAAGGGTTATAATAGTTTAGGTTAAGGTCTTACTAAACTACCTAAAATTGCTGATAATGAAAAGGTTTATCTGAAGTAAGTTGTATCTCCTTTTGAAGGCGTTACTGATAGAGGACATCAACTTCACTTTTCAAGAAATAGATCGGTCTTGTTATATTTTATGTATATATTTTAAGGCTGCATTAAGGGTAAAATTTTTCTTAAACACTATAGTTTTAGGACTTTCTACAAAAATTTGTTAAAATTGCATTTTGCATTTTCATAAAATTAGAATTTCAAATAAAAAGTCTTACCAATTTAAAGCCTATCTTTGGCAAGACAGGCTACACATTTAAGGGATATGCTATAGTCATATTTCTGTTGATGTAGCTCAACTTTTAGAAAGTCCATGTATTTGAAATCTGAGTTGAATTTACTAAAAATGAGAACTTTATAAAGCCAGTATTATGTTACTGAGCTTCTAAAAGAAGGTACCAAACAAATGCAGTGCTATTAAAATCTTATTAAAAAACTGCCCCATTGTACTTAAATATACATCTTAATAGTAACTGTCAACTTAAATTATGTGGTATTCTAAAATTTAAAAAATGATCACCCACATCATTCTCATTTATTTTCACTACAATCTTTATTAACTTGACAAGACAGTTATTTTTTATCCTGTTTTAAAGAGTAGGAAGAAGGATGTGGTTAACGTAACCAGTATCATACACTAAAGTAAACGGCAGAGAGAGAATCAGAATGCAATTCTGTGTCCTTCCAAATAAACCACACTACATCATAGCATCCCATTCTAAAAATGGCAATGAATTTTCCCCCAAATAAATTTTTGTCAAAAAGTTACATTTATAAATCTAATTCCATAGAAGACATTATTGCCTTAAACACAGATAGAATGAGTAGCCTCTTGGGCTCATCCTACATGAAATTAAGGAAAAGAAAATAGTTTAATTATTTTTAAATGAAGGATGCTCTGTGCCTGCTCACTTGCACATTTTTGGTGATGAATGTTATTTAAGAGAATATATCAAATCTTACCTCTGGTTTTTCTAATAGAAGACAGCCAAGTTCATAGCAAGCATATGGCTGGACATATAAGTTATTCTGACGACACAATTCATCTTTAACAGCTCGCTGAAAGAACTGAAAGTAATACAAATGTCATTGGAATTAAGTGTTTTCCCTAATTAGGCTCCTTTTCCCACTTAAGGCTCATTACATCTTCAGGACACAAGAAGGGGGACTCATCTTATTTCTGTATTCTATATCAGATTTTCTCTTCTTTCTGCATCTTTCCTCCTTTCCATCCATTCTCATCCATATCTTAGAAGTTCTTTCCATGCTTGTCTGGTGAGCCTCTTCCAGAATATGCTACACATCTGTCAGCCCAATTCATGCTACTTACTTTTCCAGTTGACACTCCAGCCTCTATTAATTTTATTGCAGAGAACACCTTTATCTGCATCTCAAAGTCTGAACATCCCATTTTATAATATTTAAACAGAAAGCACAGCAGCCANTTTGCCATATTTTTCTTCTCAGGTAAATATTGGTGAAGGGAAGACAAAATAGTTTTGAATCCTAATGTGCAGTCAAATAAGTTATTTACAAGCGATTTTTAATCAACTCATTTCACATCCAGTAACTCTAATAACACCTATTATACTAAATTCAAACTGTTATAAATAATGAGAATCAGCGAGATAAGCATCATTACTTCTGCGACGATAACAAAGTCCTATGAGTACAAAAAGCAGCAAGCGTTTTCTAAAGATACAAACTGAAAGCATTAATAAGGAAAAAGTGCACAAGAAGGAATTACTTGCATGATAAGAAGCTGGACATGAGCTGAGTGCATTAATAGATGCAGTCATACTATTTCATGACAAGAAGCTAGACAGACATTTCATATTTACCAATTTCATACAGACAGACATGTTGGATTTCTCTCTGATCTACTGCAAGTTCCAAAGCAGTGTGGAAGGAAGTCAAGGCACTGTTGATTTGACACTAGGAACAAATGAAAACAGAGTTACTGGCTAAGATCTGTGTTAACACAAGCATCTGAGCAGAGCACCTAAAAAACATCACCAGGATCAAAAGGGTTAGATGAAATCCTAAATACAGCAATAACAGGTGTTAAGTATCATGCCCCTATAATAAATACAAATCCTAAATGCCAAAGACCTGACAGTCTGCTCTCAGTGACGCACGCCTAGCATTCCTCCTTGTTATGCTGGTGCCAGCACTGCTCTCCCTGCCCTGCACTCAGCCCTCTTCTCTGTGGCCCCCTCTGCTGCTCTTTGCCACTCCCTTCCCAAGGTCCCTACTGCTCTCTCCTCCCCCAGGCAGCCAGGCAGGGGCGTGAAGGGTCTTAGGAGAGGGGTTGCCAGCTTCTCTGGGTACCAGCCCCTACCACATTCTTTGGCTCCTTTAGTGATTGATGCATGGTCACTGTGGGAGGCCTCTTGGACACAGTACATCTCAGTGATGAGTCAGCCAGGATATCTTCAGGACAGTCTGTGACCCAGGAACGTTATAAGCCAAATGACTCATTAACCAAGGACATGGCTGGCTCAGTAACTGCTCATGCTCCATTACTCTGTTGTCAGGAACTCGGACCATATAGCATTCAAGCCCTTTTCACCACCCACGAATGCTGACTGGGTAGCCACAGAAGATACATGTCACCGTATCACTAACTGCTGTTCTCAAGTAGCTTAGCATCTCAAGTAGCTAGTTGGAGGTAACCTCACAAAAATGGAGAAGAGACCTCCAACTCTGAAGTCAGACACTCAGTGACTGTAAGCACAAGGCCAAAATACCAAAGAGCTGAAAAACCAATCCACTGTTTATAAAGAACATACATGTGTGTAGAGAGAGAGACCTGGACACTCATCACAACCAGCTAACGTTTCCCTTTATGGATCAACAGTTCTTTTCCTGCATCATGTATGCACTTGACTTAGCAGATTTACACAGAAACCAGTCTTAGGGATTCTGTTCTTTATGCATCTCCCCAGTTCACTAAGTTAATGACATTCAACTATCACACACAGGATATTTCTGGATAGGCCACCACTACCAAGCAGTCCCCAGCTGGGGTTTAGTGCATGACAGTGCAATGTCACAATACACTTCAGAGGATAACTGCTCAGTGAACATTTATTTATTGGGCAATGTCTATGTGCCTGGGATGATACCAGGCTCTGGAGATACAAACTAGTCAAAACCAAGCTCTGAATGCAAGTAAAAAGAAACAAAGTAATATTTGTATCAGCATCCATTCTCTTAACTCTTTCAAAATCTCTCTGAGATAGGCATGTAATAGTTCCATTTTCAGATGAAGAAACTGAAGTTCAACGAGGTTAAGCAGCTTGGTCAAGGTCGACAAGCTAACAATTGACTAGTATTCAAACTCGGTTCCCATTTCCTGCAGAGTAGGCTTTTGTTGTTGTTTTTGTTTGTTTGTTTGTTTGTTTGTTTTTTAGGGAATGTGTACAAGTATGCAGGTGTGATAATGAATCGTGCAATGAGGGGACAATATCCTGGATTACACAGGTGCGCACTGAATGCATAAGTTTCCTTATAAAAAGGACAGAGAGAGAGTCGATACACACAGAAGAAGAGGCAATGTGACCACAGAGGCACAGGTTGGAGTGAAGTGGCCACAAGCCCAGGCATGTAGGCAGCCAGCCACTAGTGGTTGCAAGAGGCAAGGGAAAGATTCTTCCCAGAGCCTCCAGAGGGAGCACTGACCTGCCAACACCTTGATTTCATCCCAGTGCAAATGATACGACTTCTGGCCTCCAGAGTTATGAGAAAATTAAATTTCTATCATTTTAAGCCACTTAATTTGTAGTAATATTTTTACGTAGCCTTAGAAAACTAATATATTTCTTTAAAAATTAAACTGGGAAGAAAGTACTATGCTCTTTCTGTTATAAGCACTCTAATAAAGCTGGAAAGTACTGAGACCATTTACGAGCTTAACGACATTATCCCAAGTGTAAGCATAACTCCAAAATTAATTCTAGCTCTGTCATGATCACTCACTGAGGAGTTACAATGAACTGCCATTAAAACAGTGGAAATGTATTTCCCCTTATTTTTCACCAAAATAATTTAAAATAAAAATGATCTGTGGGAGTTTTTAGGATTACTAATTAAAATATCCACGACACTGCAGAGAAAGGAGAATCACCCTCAATTTGATACTTGTTTCTCAGTGCAGTTTTAAGAATAAATATACATACCCTGTCATGAAGAAAATATAGAAAATGGGCTAGTATGAAAAAGCCAGGAAGCCAAGAATTAAACAGTAAGTACCATATAGATTTTTGTCTCATGAATTATACATTGGCACGCTGTGTCACAAAAATGAAGCTTCAGTTTCCTCAGTGGTAAAATGAGAAAAAAAATGTTGGCTAGTTTTATTTGCTTTTAGAGA